ATCAAAAATTCAAATCTGTATAGACTGTGCATCCTCCTTGTCTGCTAGTTTAACTACTGCCAACTTTATGGCTTCAACATGAATACAGAAGAAGGATAATCCTTAAACAACTTTATAGTTGTTTTAAAACCAGTGTCATGCACTAGATATGTGTAAATAGATTTTTATCAATTTTTCATAATATAATTATGGAAATATGATTTTTAATAATGGTTCAATTAGTTTAATTTTATACCTTATTGACTAATTTTTAGAGAAAAATATGTATATAATGAAGTGTAAGAGTTTTTTAAGGAAAAAATATGTCAATAAATCATTAATGTGCAGCATGCTAAAATTTATTTTTTATAACTTTTTTCTTGAAAAATATTTCTTTCTTTATATGCAGTATGTAAGTACAAGATTTATAACATTTTGAAATAATAAAATGTTGTTACCGTAACTTGCAGCAATTCTAAATGGCACGAAATAATACTTACTAGCTAAGTCACGACCAGGTTGTTCTCTTTATGACGTTTCGTGGCACTGCCCAAAATGTGCAAGTAGACTATCAATCACGCCGTCCCAGGATAAAACAGATCAGTTCTCTGTTATGCAATTTCTTACTGTACTGTAAGAATCGTTCTTAAATACACCCACCACTATATGGCTACCAGTGTCAATTCTCGAAATTCTCACACTACTAGTGTTAGTTCTCGAAATTCCCGCACTTTGGCTACCAGTGCCAATTCTTTTCCCACAATTCGACTACCAGTGTTAGTTCTCAAAATTTTCGCACTTTAGCTACCAATGCTAATTCTTTTCCACAATCTGACTTCCTGTGTCAGTTTTCGAACTACCCACAATATGGCTGTCTGTGCCAATTCTTAGTGTCATGGAAAGAAATGGGGAGAAGTTTGCCGGAAATGCATCGGCGGAAATTATGAGGGAGAAAGAAAAAGTTAAGTAAAAGTATACTCAACTTGGTGCGAGAAAATATGAAGGGAGAATACTTCATTTATATAATAAGATTTTGTCACAACTCTTGCATCCTCCAATGTGGGACTTATGAGATTTTTTTCAAAATCTTTCAATGTGGGACTTGTGAGGTTTCTTCATAATCTCATTATGTGGACTTATGAATTTTTTCATTTTCACAACAATAAAAGTTCCAACATAAAAGTCAAAGCTTTACATCCCGAGATAAATTACAAAAAGAAAACTTGATATATAAGAAAGATAACACAAACATCAGATTGGACTGCGTAATAAATAAGTACATATATAAGTTTTATTCTATAAATTCGTTAAGAAAATTAATTTGTCATTTTGAAGATCCTCCTCAGTGGGGCACCTATGCATAATGTATTTCAAGTGGTGAGAGGAATAAATTTTCATAATGGTAATTAAATCTAACGTAAATGTTAAGATTAAAAAATATATATTTGTTATTAGGAATTAGTCATTGTAAGGAATTAGTATAATTGACATTGTAAAAAAAAAATAAAAAAATTGATGTTGAAAAGATTAGTTCCACTTGAAACATGCACCATAGAAAGTATGGTTGGAAATTCTGGTTGAATAATGAAATTTTCATTTGGTGAACACTGGTTCTACAATTTTGGAAAATATTTTCCACACAACACACAACTATAAATTACTTTAAAAAAATAGGAGAAAGTAGTATATACCAATGTTGTGAAATCCGAGCTGAACGTCAAGTCGGAAGAGCTTTCATATTAGGTCTAACCGATTTAAACAGTTAAGCCGTCCAGTCGGACCGAATGATTTTAAATATAATTAGTAATTTTTATCTATAAACATATAATTATATATAAATGTAAAATTTTATATAATTAATAATTTTATATAACTATATTGAAGTAACATCTCTCTATCTTTTTTGGACCAAAATAAAAAAACATTAGAATAATGTTCAAATTTTTCTTAAATTTTAAGTCATTCGTCCGGTTTTCCCCCGGGTTATTCTGGTGTAATCGGGTTTAGCATGATTGAACTGAAATTTCTCAAGTTCAAAGCGGTTCAACTACTCATTCAGTTAAAACTACAAAACGGAGCCGTTTTCAAGTCTGATCAGCGATCAAACCGGTCAAACCATCCGGTCCGGTCCGGTTATCACAACACTGATATATATATTGATAGGGAAACATTTTTATGTTACCATCATATTATCCAATACAATTATATATTAATTATCATGACTCTTAATTAAAACTCTTAATTAAAACTAATACAGATGAATCAAATTAACCTCAAAGTAAAAAATAAAAGTCGTGATATGCACACTTCATTCAGGCTAGGAGTTCAGCTAATAATGTTGAAATTCTAAACTAAACTTGCATGACAGAAAGTGTCACTTGGAATTTTTCTTGATGAACGGAATTTTCATTTTACACGTATGCATACATTGAAGAACGTTGTGTCACCCCATATATGAAAGTTTCTGATGGTAAATGAAAAATAAAGATAATTAAAAACTTACCAAATTTTAATATTTTGACTAAATGGCACACTTTATAGAATAAGGTTCTCCCTTCACGCACGATGTGTATCTAGATAGAAGAGATTTAACACCATGACTTCTACCTCAAAACTATACAACAATTTTATGCGAAAATAATTATTTATATGAATCATTTAATAAAAAATATGTGAGGAGGCAATGTACTTTTAATTATAATATTCTTTATCTAGTAATTCTCAGACAACGTTTCATGTACTTCTTCATTTTAATCATTCTCTCATTAGATAACACACCTATGAAAATCATTTACTATGTTGGGGATTCCCATAGCAAAAACCCCAAATTTGTTGGAAATTAGAATCTATATGATGAGAATTGTCTTTTAACAATACACATTCAATAATGTCCGAATGTAAAACGTTGTTAAATGATAGATTGAGATCAACGAAATGACATTCAACAACGCTCAATAAAGCAGACGTTGTTGTATCTCTACTATCAACATTGCTTGTTTCACTAAGTGTTGTTGATTTTATGACGTACAAATTGAACAACGCTCAATGAAGCGAATGCAATTGAGTCTCACATATTCAAGAGTGCTTTTTTGTATTCAACTTCATCATACAGACCTTCAACGATATTCAACAACAACTGATGATGTTTGTGTGCATTCAACAAAATGTGAGTTTTTTTTCCTTTTTTTTGTTTCTTCCCTTTGCATGTATTTGTGTGTGTTCGTGTGTTTCTTCCCTTTGCATGTATTTGTGTGTGTTACTGTCAACTATAGTAAGTACTTTTGAATGACTTGTAAATACTTAGGACATGTAAAAAATGTGAAAATGAATAGTGTGTGACATGGATGGATTGTGAGTAAAAAGTTTGAAAATGAATAGAAAGTTCCTATGTTCAAACTATGTTTTTATTAGGGTTTCCGGATATAGATAAAAACGGGAATAAGCGAGTACATATAGTAGCTACCGCTACCCATTTTGAAATATGGGAACATTACCCATAGTTGCCCGTACCCGTGCGGGTTTTCACGGGAATTTATGGGTACTTGTTAATATAGTGATTACTCAGATTTCGTGTATTACCAATGAATTCCTTCTTAACCATATAGGGTGCTGGGTACACCACCAAATTCTCATATTCTTATATATCCGCAAGTTTCCACCATTTTGAGACACTTTAACTATTCACATATCTTCCTGACTGTTTATCTAACTAGATTTTTTAACATAAAATACATCATGGAGCATTTATGTAACCTTTAAGCGCCAATAATGAAAGTAGGATTTGTTGTCACCGACTAGGAAATATTGAGATTTATTTTCTATTGGATTTCGTAAAGGTTAGTCTTACTTATTCTGATATCTCCAAATATGAGAACATGTGAATATCGATTTAGCTACTCTAGAAATTAACTTCTAATTCACAATGTGATACTAGGAAGTTGTTAAACGAGAAGCAATCAGAAGCATACAAACAGCAGCAAAACCAGAAAACAATGTAGAAGGAAGAAGACAATGTAAGAGAAAATGCTTGTGTATATTGATAGTAAAAAATGCATAAAACTATCTCAATGCTATTAGAAACTGTCGCACCCGGATTTTCGGCCACGCGACCTCTTGAGGAGTCGCCACCACGTCTTTTGCAGTTAAAACGTGGAAAACTCGAATTATGCCCAAATTGGATAAAATTGGTCTTTATGTTAGAGTTATGAGTTCGGGAGTCGATTATGGATTGGGGAAGGTATTAGCACCCCGTCCGCCCGTTATTAAACGGTACCCTAACTAATTGCATGCTTTTAATTTACCCTTACTTTATTGAAATTAAATTGAATAAAACAAAATGTTTATTTTTTTATTTTGTGTCTGACAAGAGTTTATCTTAAACCTACGTATCCCTAGGTGCTTACCCTCTTCTCCCTTCGATAAATAGCAGAAGCAGTACAAGTGACCGCGACCGGTTCTCGGCTCGAAGTGAGAAGAAAGATACAATACGAGTTGTAACCTCGCTATTGAATCCCAAAAATATCTTTATTTTTTTTAAATAACTCAAACATTTTTAAAGAGAAGTTTAATTAGTGAAAAGTTAGCATTGATTATTAATTGTTCTCTTACTTCGATAAATAGCAGAAGCACTACAAGTGACCGCGACCGGTTCTCGGCTCGAAGTAAGAATTAACATATGACACTAGTAAATTTTAATTATAACACATTATTATATATAAAATTATCGCTTCTCATAAGTAAAGAGATTTTATTATTTCGCTATACATTTGGAATATTTGAAAGTATGAAACCCGTTATTTTTATTCGCGCGATAAACAAACAAATCAATTATCGTGATAATTTCTATAAGATTAACAAATACATTACAATATGATGTTATTTATTTTTGTATGATCAAATAAGAAAGAAAAGAGCAAAATATAAAAAAGCAAATAATATGGGCTTAAAAGCCCAACAGAAGACAGATTGAAATGGGGAATGGGAATTAGGTTTTCAGGTTTGGCATTTCAAGGAGATTAGGATTTGGGTGAGTGAGAAGAGAGCTTCTCCTCTTTGGTGGCCGGCGGCTTGTGATTCCGGCAGGGAAGGAGGACTGTATCCTCATCAAGACGTGACTGTGAAGGGGAACCGGCTTGTTACGAGAGCCGCACCATGGTGGTGGGCGTTTCTGGACAGATTCCAGTGGTGGAGGAGCGGCACTTTCCTTCCTTTTATTCTGACAGTGGAGATGGCGGCGTCGACATGACGCCGGCGGTGGGTCTGTAGCATCGACCCTCTCCCCCTTCTCACTGTTGATTTTTTTTTATGGCTTTGACGGCAAGGCTGAAGAACGACCGGCGGTGGGCCTGCCGTCGGTCCTGATTGGTTTCAGGGAGGAACCATCTCCCTCTCATGTTATATGTCTCCAAACATACATGTTCTATTTGATGATTTTCCATAATTCTCTTTAATTTTTGGGTTGAATGTTACTGAGTTATTTGTTACAGTGATTTATGGAACTAACATTTTACTATGAACTTGCAAACATATTATGATTGTTGTAGTGACTGAATTTGTTACTCATGAATTAAAAGAGACTAAAAATGACAGCATTTGTTATAATGACTTGTGGATAAAGACCAAATGTGTTCTGTATATTCATGGTGCATGTTACTAATGATAGCATTTTACAAATGAAAAAAAATTATCTTTTTCACATGAACAAAACATTAACTCAACAATGCCTACTCTTAAACTCAATACCTATATTTGAATGCTTGAGTCTGGATGAGTGAAATAAATATATACAATATGCATTATAGATACAGGGATAACATTTAGGTTTAACGTAATATCATATATATTGACGATATATAATACTAACCTGGTAAATTGGATATATGGTGGAGTCGCTTTCTCTACTCAATTGCCTTTAGTGTTGATCACCTTCCCTTACTGCTCTATGTTTTCCCTTTTTGTATCTATGTCCTCTTCTTTTTTTGCACATGTATTTCATAGCTTTTAATAGAGATAAGTTTGCCACCCCACATCCCATCAAAGTAGGAAGAATCACCCCACTATCAAAATCTGGTTTATCAAACCATATTTTTCTCCCCCTCATCCTAACAAATTAGTTTTTTTCTTAAAAATCCTTTATTTATTTTATTCATATTTCTTTAGTTTCACTATTTTCGAAATGAATAAATATTACTATAAATTTAAATGTTAAAATACTTGGGTTAGATTTTGTGGGCCTAAAAAATGGTGTTCACAGAAACTATAAGTGCCTTCTATAGCAATTGTAATCAACTAACTTTCTATTATTAGAAGCTCATCAACAACCTTTAACTAACTCAACTAAAAGGCTAAAAACTGAAATTACAAAGTCTAGCACTCCTCCTTAATTCAGTCTTCATCAAGCACTTCTTACACCCATCTTCATCCTCAAATGTTCAAACCTTTTCTTCTTCAAAGGCTTAATAAAAACATCAGTCAATTGGTTTATTGATGAACATAATTCCAGCTTTACATTCCCCTTACTTACTTGATCTCTTATGTAGTGAAATCTGATTTCTATGTGCTTACTTCTACCATGAGCCACTGGATTCAGTGCAAGGTTGATTGCAGACTTATTGTCCACCATTAACAGAATTTCACCTTATGTTTTTATCTTCAATTGTTCTAACAAAACCGTCATCCAAACAACTTGACATGTGCACAAACAAGCTGCTATATATTCAGCTTCACATGAGGACAAGGTTGCAACATCTTGCTTTTTAGAACACCAACTTTTTAGAGCATTACCAAGACTGAATAGATAACCATATGTGCTTTTCCTATCCCCTTGTCACCACATCAATCTGCATCAGAAAAACCAACCAACTCAATGTTTCTCTTGTTGTTTTGGCATGTTGGAAAAGTGATTCCATAACCAATTGTCCCCTTTAGGTACCTTAGCAGCCTTTTTACTGCATTTAGGTGAACTTGTTGAGGTGCTTCCATGTATCTACTCACTAAGCCAATTCCATATGCAATATCAGGTCTGTATTACATATATATCTTAGTGACCCAACCATTTGTCTAAACATGGTCTTGTCCACTTCTTGTTATGCTTCAGGTTGGTCTTCTATGCTTCCAGCTTCAGCAGGAGTGGTGTTGTGTTGCAATATATCATTTGAAACCTTTTCAATACATCAATGGTGTACTTGTGTTGATGCATGAAAGTTCCAAGTTGTGTCTTCTTGAATTCAATACCTAGGAAGTAAGCCAATTCACCAAGGTCAGACATCTCGAATTCAAATTGCATTTACTATTTGAATGTTGAGATGTCATTGAGATTTCCACTTGTTATCAACGGATCATCCACATAGAGGCACACAATGAGAAGGTATGATTTGTCATTGTCCTTCACATAAACACCATGCTTTGTTGTGCACTTTACTAGTCCAAGCTGCATTAGGAATGCATCAATCCTTTTGTTCCATGCTCTTGGAGCCTGCTTGAGCCCATATAGAGCCTTATGTAGCTTATACATCAATTCTTCTTTTCCAATTATCACAAAGCCTACTGGTTGTGACACAAACACTTCCTTCTCTAGAGGTCCATTCAAGAATGCACACTTTACATCCATTTGATGGATTTCCCAGCTGTTGTAACTTGCTATCGCTATGACTAGTCTTACTGTTTCTAGTCTAGCTACAGGAGCAAATACTTCATCATAATCAAGACCTTGCTTATGAAGAAATCCTTTGCCACAAGTCTAGATTTATGCTTTGATTCTTCACCATTAGGATTCAACTTGGTCTTATAAACCCATTTAACAGTAATGGCTTTCTTTCCTTGTGGTAATTGCACTAGACTCCAAGTGTTGTTTCTTTCAATTGATCTAAACTCTTCTTCCATTTCTTCAATCGAATGTGATTGTTGCAAGGCATCTTCTAGTCTCACTGGTTCCATCTCAGCAAGCAGTGCCATGTGTACATAGTCACCCTCTTTTGTTATATTTGAATCAAGGAACACCTCAAAGTCACTGAACCTTAGAGGTGGTTGTCTATGCCTATGAGATGTGGAGGATTGCAATTGTTCACCATGACTGGATTATTTGTTGTTATGAGCTCATCCATAACATCTTCTTCATTCTATTCAAGCTGCAACATAGTCTTTTTGCCTCTTCTATCACTTCTCAAGTTCCAATTCCAACTTTGGCTTTCATCAAACTTCAAATCTCTGCTCATCAAGACCTTGTTCTTTATTGGATCAAACACTCTATAAGCACTAGTGGAGTGATAACCCAAGAAGATCAGTTTCTCACCCTTATTATCTAGTTTCCTCCTCCTTGCTTCAAGCACATGTTTGTAGATAATGCAACCAAATATTTTGAAGTGGCTCACACTTGGATTGAGGCATGTCCAAGCTTCTTCAGCAGTTTTATCATCTAATCTACATGTAGGGCTTCTGTTGAGAATATGTACTGCAGTGGAGATAGCTTCACAAACATCTTAGGCAAGCCCTTTGTTCTCAGCATGCACCTAGCCATATTGAGTATGGTCCTACTTGCCCTCTCTGCTGCTCCATTATACTATGGTGTGTATGGTGTTGTGACTTCATGAGTGATACCTTCTTTGATGCATAAATCATTAAACTCAGTTGACATATACTCACCACCTCCATATGATCTCAACTGCTTTAGTTTATTTTCACTCTGTTTTTCTGCTTGAGCCTTAAACTTCTTGAAGATATCTAGCACATCACTTTTATGTTTCATTAGATAGATCCATACTTTTCTAGTATGATCATCAATGAAAGTCACAAAGTATATGTTGCCTCCAATGGAATTATCCTCTAATGGACCACACACATCAGTGTACACAACTTCTAATGCCTTCATTGATCTTGTGGGAATATGTGAGACAAACAAATTCCTTGTCTGTATGCTTGAGATGCACTCTTCACACAACTGTTATGGTACTTTAATGAGTGGAATTCCAGTCATTATGCCATCTCTACTTAGCAAATCTAAACTCCTAAAGTTTAGATGTCCATACCTCTGATGTCATAGTCATATCTCTCTTTTAATTGTTGACTAAAAGCACTTGTGTTCGCTAGCTTGTATGCCATCCTTGAAAGTTCTATTAGCAAAGAGTGGAACCTTCAAGATATTGTGCTTGTTTTTGTCAAACACCTTCAGCATACCATCCTTCATCTCCATGGTGTAGCCCTTTTCAAGCAATTGTCCAAGATTGAGCAGATTGTTCTTCATCTTGGAACATATAGGACATTGGATATGTAAGATTTATTCCCATCTTTTCTCTGAATCATCACATTCCCAATTCATTCAGCTGAGACAAAACTATGATATGCAAATTTGACTTTACTCTTGGTAGTTTCATCAAGGGATCTAAACCAATCTTTATTTCTTGTCATGTGATTAGAACATCCTATGCCCAGATACCAGAAATCAATGCTCTTTTCACTGTTTCTGAGAGTGGCCATTAGCAAGTAGTGATCATCATCATCCTCGGAGTCTCTACCTTTTGCCATTTTAACTTCTTCATCTTTCTTGGCTAACACTCTGTTTAGCTTGCATTCTGCTGCAAAGTGACCATAGTTTCTGCAATTATAGTATTGCACCTTGTTCTTGTCAAACTTCCTTCTTCTTGTTGAGTTATTGTTGTAATCTTTCCCACGATCATTTTGATGAGCAAGTGGATAGATTGATTTCTTAGATGGTGAGCCTTGTTCAAACTTCAAATCTTGACAGTTTCTCCACTTCTCATTTTGCCATCTATTCTTGCTCTTTCTGTTCTTATTCCATGGACCAACATACTTCTTGGAATTTTGAGCGTATAGTGCTTGATCATCACCCTTTCCTTCATGCCTCTCCTTTAGTTTTTGCTTATGTGCTTCAAGAGAGCTTTGAAGTTCTTCTACCTTGTAGCACTCAAGATCTTTTGACTCCTCGATTGCCACAACAATATGATCATACTTAGGAGTTAAGGTCCTAAGTATCTTTTCAATCACAACTTGATCCTTCACCTCTTCTCCACATGCCTTCATTTGATTTGTTAGGGTGTGGATCTTGGTGAAGTAATCTGAAACTGTTTCACCCTCCTCTATTGGAAGAAGTTCATACTTCCTTCTCATGGTTTAAAGCTTGACTTTCTTAATCTTTGCAGCCCCTTCATAGTTATTTTCCAAGCTTTCCCAAGCTTCCTTTGTTGTCCTGCCACAAGCTATTTTTTGAAGTTTTCCCCATCAACACATTGATGAATTAAGAACAAAGCTTTGCAATCTTTCTTCTTGGATTCTTTATAGATTGTTCTTTGAGCATCACTTGCATTTTCCATAATATCTTGATACCCATTCTGCACAACTTCATACACTTCTTGAAATCCAAAGATGGTATTCATTTGGATTCTCCATCTATCATAATTATTGGATTCAAGAATTGGTAGTGTCATTGCAAATCCATTTCCATTAGCCATCTTGATTCCTCACTGTTTCCATACTGCTTTCTTTCTAGCTTCAATGGAGTTTCGATCTCCTCACCCTCTTCTTCACAGGCTAAGATCACACATGAACATGCTCAATCTTTGCTCTTGATACCACTGTTAAACCAGAAGCAACCAGAAGCATACAAACAGCAGCAAAAGTAAAAAACAATGCAGAAGGAAGAAGACAATGTAAGAGAAAATGCTTGTGTATATTGATAGTCAAAAATGCATAAAACTATCTCAATGTTATTAGAAACTATAAGTTCCTTTTATAGAAATTTTAATCAATTAACTTTATATTAGAAACTCATCAACAACCTTTAACTAACTCAACTAAAAGGCAAAAAACTGAATTACACAAAGTCTAACAAAATTAACTTCTAGAAATTATCTCATTGCAGAGTTTTTGTATCAACACTGCCTCACCTTCCAGGTTCCGTCACTTTGTTAGAATTCGATTTTAACAACA